ATTGGGTGTTAAACCTGTGTTAATATCATTGGCTGTTAAATCTAGGTTGATATCATTGGGTGTTAAACCTGTGTTAATATCATTGGGTGTTAAATCTGTGTTAATATCATTGGGTGATAAACCTGTGTTAATATTATTGGCTGTTAAATCTAGGTTGATATCATTGGGTGTTAAACCTATGTTGATATCATTGGCTGTTAAACCTATACTGATGTCATTGGGTGTTAAACCTGTGTTAATATCATTGGCTGTTAAATCTAGGTTGATATCATTGGGTGTTAAACCTGTGTTAATATCATTGGGTGTTAAACCTGTGTTAATATCGTTGGCTGTTAAACCTGTGTCGATATCATTGGTCGACAAATCTGCATTAAAATCGACGGCTGAAACCATCTATCATGATTTTTTAAACTAATAATTTATATTTCTTACGCAGGTTGCTCACTGAGCGGAAGGGTTCGAGTAAAAAGAACTGGCTAAACATTCTAATTTGCCTAAATTATTGATTCACGGGGACAGCAAGTCATGCTCAGTGAAAGTACATAAATATACTAAATATATAAACGTTTTTGAATTAGATTCCAATAACGAGTGAGGTGATATATGTATATATGATTATTACAATCACAACATTGACCCACATGAAATACACCATGTCAATTATTCACGTGGTTGGCAAACGCTGCTATGTTATTTGCAAATATGACTGAGCAAATACAAACATATTATTCATTTCGTGAAACATGTATAGCCGGAATAATAATACGCTTCTAGTAAGTAAGAAAATCTACACGTATATCTATATCAGTGTTGTTGTAATGGAAGTTCTCCTGTTGGCATATTCTTGGAAATACACCCACCCTTATAACATTTCACTATAAATTATCTATTTCCTGTGCGTCATGTTATGTTTGCCACTGTGTAGAATTCGACTGTCCAATATGAATATATTTCTTCAAATTATTAAAAGAAAGAGGAACTGTTCAGGCCCATATGTTACATAAGTAGGATGTTCATATCTTATACCATTGATACCAAAAGACCACAACTTCTCAATTTTTATCAGAGGAATTAGTATGAACACTACCCATGTAAATCAAACTATATATATACCCATATTGGCATTGAATAACGAAGGACTGAGTACACCAAGCAACTGCACCAGTCCTGGACAAAGTGATGCACGGAAATTAGAAACTAACATCCACTAAATGTTTATTATCATATTATTGTAATCATAAACCTTGCATTCCTCTCGTGTTTGGTGTTATAATAATCCACCCGTGTTCCCCATCTCACTCGCACAGCACGTCATACAACCCTATATTGACAAACACACTAACTTGTTGTCGAAATTAACTCCATATGCTATTAACATTATATAATGAGTTGCAGTGTTCACCGTCCTACTAAACTCGGACACCCCTATGAGCATTTTGGTTCGCCCAATTCAGCGTTCTATTTCTGAGTAATCATCTACTTTCACTATTACACCCTTTGGAACAATACCGTGCTTTAAGTGATGTGGGCTTTTCAATGGGGAATCTCCCATTCATTCCCCGATCCCTTACTTGAATTACGTGGCTGTTTATAAACAAGATTTATACCGGGGTACATACATAACGGCATTTGAGCACTGTTCTTGCGTGTGTTGTCATAAGTCCAACCCAGGCTGATACGACTGAAAGTTAACCACAAAGTGTTTACTGTGTATTCGGTTTGTATCATGATAATACATTTACATCTGTCATCAACGTAATTACTTTCACACATCAATCGATTACGTTTTATGTGCTGTTCATACCTGGTAGCTCAGGTGAAGTAGAGTATGGATTACTGTTGTTTATTTGGGAGGTTACCAATGAATATAAACTGTTTATAATATTTAAATTAAATGTGTACCTATGGATAAGTTTTCACGATCATGAACAGAGAAACGTACCTATTTTGAAAATCAGGTCTGTATACATAAATTGGAAAACAACTTTTCACTTGAAGGTTGTATTTAGTTCAAAATCGTTGATCAAAAATTTGAGCCAAGACTTCAAACCCATATTTCCTAGCAATTTTGATTTGCCGCAATTCCATGAGTATATAATTACTGCTCAAACACATTGAAATCAATATAATAACAGCCAAGGCCGATACTTTCAAACCGCATGCCAGTCCTGTAAATGTACAATTTAGAGTGGAATACATGGCTGGGGGTCGGTACATCAGCATTTTCACGGAAATACGTTTGACGAGCCGATATATTTTGACATGTTCGAAACTTGACAAAATGTATTAGTGAATGAAATGTTGTCGAGTTAGTTTATCAAGGATCTTATTGCAAAATTATACGATGAACGATACTTGGTTTCTGATGATCTGATTTTTTAAATTATTGCTTATTTTCAGCTCGAATTGATGTAGCCTGAAGTGGATATTATTATAATATTGAAACCTGGTGGGGAAAAATGCCTAAACGTGCAAAGGTCAGCAGTTATGATCACATCCGCCCTATTGATGACTGTTTCATTGGACGGGAACAACAGTGCAAGTACATACGTGACTGTGTCGGTGATGGTGATCGCTTGATTTTTTTGCAAGGTACACCCAAAACAGGAAAAGACGCGTTTGCCAGACATGTATGTCGCGGGATCGTTAAAATGTACGAAGATGATGTACAGAATGGCGGAGAGTTGTTACACGCTTATTCTATACAGTTGTATCTGGTTGGAAAGGTTCTTCTTAAACAAGTGTTGACTGAGACGATCCGCGCAGCATTAGGACAGGATTTTGAAGACCTTGATACTTTTCTCCGCTCATCAGACGCAACGCATTTGTTCTTGCTACAGAATTGCGATAAACTTTCTGAAAACAGAGACAGTCGCACGTCGTTTCTAGATACATTGGCTGAACTCTTAGACTCGCATACAAATGTCATATTCGTAATTACATCAAGAGTGTCGTTTAGACTTACCAGGCCTACCACACTAAACTATAATATGCTCCCACTCTCAACTGCTGACGCAAAAAATCTACTGCAAAGGAACATAAAAAGTAAAGCCACGGTTGGTGATGGGACTCTTACAAAGATTGTTCAAGGTGTTTGGTGCTTGCCACATTATTTGATACAGATTGGTGTATCGTTGAGAGAAGAAGACTACACTCCAGATGAAATGGTGGAGATTTTAGAACGATCACCCGTCAGTGTTACTAGTGATGAAAGTTACTCAGATTCTGATCGACATGTGTGTCTGACAATGTCTGGTGTTAATAAATTAAACACGTTTCTTACGGAGGAATTCACATTGTGTTCTCACAAATTACAAGAAGATCAACCCTTCCCCGTGGAACAGGTTGCAGAGACGATGAACACCGGCACTGGTAGGGCAAAGCAAGATTTCTTGCACCCTCTGGTGAACAGTGGCAATGTGGCACGTGATGGTGCAGACTTTATCGCTAGTCCTGGGTCATATGATTTCATGCGTAGTATGTTTGGTGTCGAGAAGTTCACAGACAAAGAAATCACCAATGACACAATTGCAGGAGGAATCGTACGTGATTTAAGAGAAGTTGCAAATAATGCTACTAGAAGCACTGAGTCGTGCATTGAATTATCAAAGTACGATCCTGAGTTACGAGAAATGCGGGATAACCTTCTCAAGGCCATAGCAGCTAAACAGTTAGATGAAAAGTATCGTTCTTATAAACTAGCTTCTAATATAGCAAAAACAATCCTGACTAATTTTGTAAGGCCACGAAAATGTTATGAGGAGTATTTCGAAAGATGTGAAAACCTCATACACACTCATTTGGATCCGTATGGATATGTTGATGAGAAATCGCCAAAGAAAGAACCAATACAAAGCGATGAATATGAGGCAGATCTTGCCGATGCTACAGAGTGTGTTAGTCTCGGTAAACATGTGGCAGTAGTACATCCAAGTAGGGCTACACATGAGACACCACTGTTACAAAATAAAGAGATTCAAACCAACCAAGAAATGTCCAATCAACTGAATGACGGTAGTGCCCGGATGCGCAACCAAGCCACACGTGGTCGCACAACATCTTACGAAGAGACAGGTGAACCTAAGAAGCACCACCCATGCGATCCTAATATAGCAGACTTGTTAGTGAAAAACAACGATGTCGCTGAAAGCTTGGCTGGCCAGGAGGGTATGAAACAGAGAATTGTGCTCAGTATCAACCATCATCGGTCCATTGATGCTGAGCAACAGAATCAAAGTGACATACGAGAGCAACAATTAATAGTGAACGCTGATGTTAAAGGAATAGAGTGCATGGCGCAAGGACTTAGTGAGAATGTAACAGGTCAGCCGCTACACCCATCAGTCGAGTTATCTAAATCAAAAGTCAATGAAAGGCAGATTTTCCCCTCACCTGCTCACTCTGGAAACGCGGATGATTCTGAGATACCCACACCTGCCGCTAAGGTTGGACCCACACTAAATAGATCTGAAAAACAAAGTAATAGTCATACAGGTAAATGCATAGCCATGTCTTGATTATACACGATAGTAACAATGCTCATGATATAAGGTGATTACAATACTTAATTGTGCACGAAGACAGTACGGCTAAAGTTTCCATCCACATGTAGCGGGTGAATATTCCCCATCTTTAATTCTTGATGAAGTAGGAATCAACCTCCAAGCAACGACTAAACATATCAAATCATTTTCTACCGTAGGCTTATTTTAATATTCTGTATTCTGTACAGTGAACGTTTGAACATTTCTTCACACAGTAGAACACGTTTATTGTGCTCAGTGTCTGAGCTTTATTCGCCTCGTTTTAACAGTATCATATTGCTAATTGTATTCATGCGTTTCTGTCCTTAAACGTTCCAAAGAAAGCAACTGAACGACTGTACTCAAACGCGGACTACTTTTTGTGTTTGACAACGTTTTCGTATCTATTTATAACACGTGCTGTAACATATCATGTTTTTTACAAAAATATACAAATTAAATGCTTCACCATGAATAATATAGCATAAATGAATCCAAATATCATAGACAGTCGGATTGAGATCAAGCATTTTGCATGTGGCAGAGACCGAATACCCACAGGCAACCCACTAACTGTAGTAAACACTTGTAATATAGCGTTGAATTATGTAATATTATTGAATGTAACATTTTTATTTCGCAGCCAAACTACCGATTCATACGTCTACAACGCCTGCTATGGCCAGTGGTTCCTTAAAGAGAAACCCTGCCAGTCCAAGCAACACCAATGTAAAGCACCATGATTTCATAAAAGGCTGCGAGGATGATAATGGCGAATAAAAAGCGTTCTTTCAAACATCAAATCCATGCCATGCCAGCAAGACGGTACGGACTACACATACGTATCCTTTTGTGTGTGTAACAACGACTAAGAAGTGTGCTACCAAAAAAAAAATTAAATTGAGAACAATTTACCACTGATTTTTAAATTCCAACATTCTTTGGTTGTCCCCAGTACTATAGAGCTCTCGTGTACCAATTTGATTATGAGCGAAATGTTAACCAAGTATTTAATATTTTCACGTTATGTTTTCGTAAAATTATTGTTAGCTTTTTCCTCAATTGCCAAGAGAAAAAAAAATGTATCTAATGTAGATGCCTACTAACAATTCAGCCATTGCTTCATTCAAACACTGCCATAACCTGATAACGGCCACCGACCTAAAATAAGTACCCTTATGCCAAGGCACACACAAAATAGAGCGCTCGGAATGTCTGTATGCCCGAAGTACATTTCATGCGGTTAATATTTTCTTTATTCCCCATATGGACGCTTTAGGCTGATTTACTTTTATTCCATTTTTATATTTCTTGTATATTATTTTATTTTTATATTTCTCATTTTTACCACTAGTCACACTTGCCGATGTCTGGCACCGTATGCACAGCGCGTTAACGATACATGGCATTCTGGTACTGTTTTTTAATATTATATAATTATACTTAACACGTTCTATTTCTATGATGTATGCACTTTGTCGGCATCGTTATTTTAACATTATAAAATCTGATAGATTTAGAAAATATATTACTTCAATTATATATTCTACATGTTTTATTCGATTAAATGGTGTATCTATCTGCGTAAATTTAGTCATTATTCTTGTAATTACTAAATGTTACTCTGCTCGAACACAATGTTAGCTTCCTTCTGTGGTGGGGTACCATAATATACCTGCATATATCATAAATATTAGGAATAAATCAAGTCACACCTTAATGTGGGAAGGAATGTAAGTCTATTGCGTGATGGAAGTCTGAGTCCGCTATTTTGTACTGATGCAATATTATATCAGTCAACTGATTCTATTCAATAAAATTGTAATTTTGTTTATGGTAATAGAATGAAACTCCACGATGTTTCGATTCCATGATTACATGTGTATTAGTATGACAAGATAACGCTTCATAATGCTACCAACCATAGGCAATAATACATAAATGCAATGACTTATTTATTTAATTAATTATGAGATACTAAAGCTAAATTGCTGAAGCTAAAGTGAATTACTGAGCAATGTTAACAATGTTGTTAACACTTTGCTAATGTTATGTAATAATCGCATTTTCAAATTGTATTGAAATAATTTTATCTGAATTTTAAAATGTAGGTCATATTTAGTATGGTATAGTGGCAATAGTACTGTTATTGATTGTCGGTGAACAAGCTGTTTTAACCAGAGTGCTATGTGGGTGTCTCATTGAGGCTGACCTTTAAGTTTTTTTTAAAGTTATTTTTAAACAGCTTTATTTTTGTCCTAAGAGCCATTGAAGTATTAATTTATTTTTATTTTGTATTATTATAGAGTGGTTATTTTATAGAAGAATATATATTTTTCTTTATAAAATCTTATTATGTATTTAAAGTATATATGTAGTATTATAGTGTGTTTTTATTTGGTGCTAACTTATTTTATTGAATAATGCTACTAGAGCTAAATATACCTTAAATGTAAATGTACCTCGAAATTGTTTTCTATCTCTCAAATAGTTTCTAACTTTTTCCGTCGTCACGTCACATTTCGGCATCTTTGGTTGTAGGAACAATTTCCTTTGACCCCATTGACCTTGTTGTCTGTATCCAGATAATACGATTCCGTATATATACAATGATCTTTAATTTGGTCCAAATGATTTTATATATTACTGTGACGAATCTTAAACATTTTTGATTGTCTGTTTCGTTTTAATTCTTTGTATTATGCATGTGTGTTGGACTAAGGTGTTAGTTTTTAATATATATGCTGCAAAAAGAATATTTTAAATGAAATATATATATATATTCAATATACCTTTCTCTCAACTGTACTAGCATATTTGTATTAGACAGCGTCAACGTGTTCGTGTACGTGGCGTTACATCCAATGATTGAATTAGTCAATTGTACAATACAAATTTCGAATTCTGCTGCGAAAAATTAAGTAAGGCATCCTGTAGTTTGAGATGAAATCAATGTGACCGATTATGGAGATTTTGGTTCCTCATTACGAATAAACAGTAAACCAATAAAAACACTCCTATTCATTGATGGCTTACTACAAAACAACATAATATCGTCGCCCTTCTTTTCACTCATTTACGTCACAGATCAGTTCGTGGAAATGTGAATTGTATTCTGTAAACACAATTAAGTTCCGTTGGCTTAAAAAACGAAAGTCGTTACATCTTTCACTCAAAGGCGCCCTGCAGTATGCATGTCTAACCATGTGGGCTGCATTTCCGCAGTGATTATTCATTACACGAAAAAAACTAAGCGTTCTCTCAGTACAGTGCTATCTTATGTTAACTATACACAACTTTGGATGCAACGACATGTTTGAACTGGTTGATAGTTTTATTTGCTTCATAAAAATATAAGGTTGATTTATCACTGTGATATATAGTGAATCTGGATATGTGTTACTACCATGTTTGATGAAATAAACTGATATAGAAGTCAACCCACATCTGACTTTATTTATGGAGTATGATTATTTATAGCCGACAGTGTCATGTGATAATTACTAACTGTGTGTAAAAGACAAGTCGTATTTCTCTGTTTGTCCATTTCATTTGTTTTGAATTATGACTGCAAACATCTGAATGAAATTAAAAAATATAAAATGCGCTCAACAACTCGCGTATAAACACTGACTTTAATAAATACAATTTTACTTTGTAAAAACGAAAGAATTTCACAATGTATACAACGGAAAGCCTTTATCTAAGTGTTATACAGAAAAAAGAACGAACTATCATTCTGAATGAATGTTTCATTCAAGTAGGCCCCAATTATCGCTGACAGGGTAATATTAATGGGAAAATATCGACCTGCGTTAAAGCAGCACAGTCTCCATGTTCGATATAGGTCCATATACAGCGTATAACACATTAGTTGTTTACAATAATTCGGCGACTACGGCACGTTATTGTACGAACTTCACATTGCACAGTTACACCAACCATGCTAACTGCCGGCTCTCCCACTTTTTACTAAAGTCCCTGTACGCACTTTTATTGGGCACTGTATCCCTAATATAGCTTCGCTCTGTTATCTTTTTCCATGCCCTCATCTCTGTCGATCAACACAGAGTTTGTTGTGATTTCCGAAGCAGCAAACTTTTATGAAATGTATGAGGAGCTTCAAAAATGTGGTACAATAGTAAAAAGTTGGTAAGAAACATAATTGATCGAAATTTAATGTGTTTATCTGAAGAAAAAATAGACTTGATATGATTTTGGCGAAATGATTGAACTAAAAAAGATCGTCAGTATCACAACATTGCTACAATTAACTGTACGTAAAGAAATACACGACTCACCATGAAACATCTAGATTCTATGACGTTAAAATGACGTCATAGACAGGGAGTGACCAACGTCATTGAAATTGAAATATAGAACTGGTTGTTATACACCCGCATATTAAAACAATAACCACGCCGTGAATGACGTCATGTACACTATTTTAAATCACGGAAGAACTTCTAAAGGGGGTGATGCATATTTCGAAGCCACGTATATTGGGTACTTATTTCGTGTTTTGAAATCCGCGTCCATTGTCTGTGGCTAAAATTATGACTGCCTACCAAAGCAGACAGTTCCACAACGAATGTCAATTCTATGGTGGGACAGTGTGACAATAGAATACCCGGCAGCAACAAAATTATTGATGACATTGTTGTCAATGGCGGAAACAGAATACACGTCCACCAATGAAACAATGTTTCAGTGGATTTCAGACAAATAAACATGTACTAGTAGAAGACATATATCTAGGATTTGGAAGCTTTATTAACAACATATAACTGTACTTGGACAACAAAGTGCGACAAGCCCACACTCGTACACACGCAATAGCCTACAATGCTTACAGCCTCTATAGACGATCTGAAGTGGCGACGAATCACTCGAACCCGTGCTGGATTCCAACAAGAAACCACGTATTAGACTTCAGTAAATTGCATAGATCTGATTGGAGGCGTCTCTAAAGCACGTGCCCAATCAAATTTAGCGTAAATACAGGAAATATGTTAGTATTGCCAAAGAGGGCGCACTCAAATATTCGTTGGCTACTGCAAACAATATATGCTGAGGTGTGGCAGTGAGGCAATCGTCGAATAAACGGACCTTGCCTGGCGAAAACGATTGATCACTGAAAATAAAAATTCATGACTGGAACCGGTTCTATCATACCGGCGTCACTTAAACAAACTAACACGCCAGACCTAATCATCTGTGTGTCAATGTATGTCACTATGATCAAACACCCACAATAAAACACTGAATTGCCTCATGGGATTAAATAAGATTTTACATGGTGACTTGTAATTTTTCCCAATGTATCAGATAGTGTACAAATGTTTCGACAAGCAAAACGTCCGCGCTCCAACCATGTAATTGTCCAATGTCCAATCACGCAGCGTGCCTCGGGGTTCGCGCGATCCTTGTACTTACAAGCCTTGGGTAGAGTGGCACGTGCGGAGGAAATGCTGAATTGTTCGAGTTACGGTCATCTTGAATTTTCAAGGTGAATGTTCCGGTGAAGCACTCCACTATCACCTTGAAGTATTTCATTAGGACTATGTGTATGTGACAATGCCCTCACAGTTTAGAATCAGTTTAGTACCAACAGCCAATCATATTGCTTCTTTCTACAACGCGCTTGGAAAGCTATTGAAATTTTCAAGGCGGGGCCAATTCACGAGACGCGCACCACTCTACCATGTATTTCTATGGGCTCTGTGCGAGCCGGTGAAAATAGCTAAAATCGAGGAAACAACACAAATATACATTTGAAGAAATTCTAAACAACCAAATTGAAATATGTCGCATATGTAGGGTAATCTTGTTACACTGTTCAGGGGGGTGTCAACAACCGTCCCAAAATACCGTTTTCTGAGAATTTATTGGTCTTTGTTTTCACCATGGTTGCCAGGCGGTGAAAATGCCTGACCTGAGAATAAATGTCGCTGCGCACAGTGGAAGCTTTTTTGGCTTGGATGTCGAGGCAATACAGCGACGATATCCATACATCATGCAACTCACAGATATTCAGACCAAAGCTATTCAAACTGTACTTAGTGCCGAGTCTGTTTTGTCGCACTGGAAATAGTAAATCCTTATGTTATTATGGTTTACCGGCCTTTCGACCATCGAGTGTGGTAATTGTGTTGTCGCCACTGCTGACTATTGTAGAAGACTAGGT